CGGGGGTGGGGGGTTCCTGGGTGGCTCAGTCTGTTAAACAAATGCCTTCTGCTCAGGTCATGATCCCAGGGTCCTGGGATCAAGCCCCTCGTTGGGCTCCCTGCTTCTTCCTCTCCCTATGCCTGTAGCTCTGCCTACTTGTGCTCTCTTTCTGTCAAATAAATAAAAGCCTTTAAAATAAAATTTTTAAAAAATAAGAAAAATTAAAAGCTGAAGATAAGGGTGACTGGATGGCTTGTAGTTTAGGTGGCTGACTATTGATTTTCAGTCAGGTCCTGACCTAAGGATCTTGGGATCGAGCCCTGCATTTGGCTCTGTGCTCAGTGGGGAGTCCCCTTTGGGATTTTCCCTCTGCCCCAACCCCGCTTGCTTGCTCTCTTTCTCTAAAATAAATCAGTCTTTAAAAAAAAAAAAAAGGCTAGAAGGTAGAAAAGATTTATGTTAGGCAACTGTGTATGCTTTATCATCCAAACCAGGCCACTTTTTTTTTTTTTTTTTTTTTTTTAAGATTTTATTTACTTATTTTGACAGAGATCGCAAGTAGGCAGAGAGGCAGGCAGCGAGAGGGGGAGGGGAAGCAGGCTCAGAGAGCTCCATCCCAGGACCCTGAGATCATGACCTGAGCCAGAGGCCAGAGGCAGAGGCTTAACCCACTGAGCCACTCAGGCCCCCAAGGGCTATTAATAATTGTCCTGGGATAATGAGCACAAATTAGGACTTTTCTGGAGATACTACACAAACCAGGAGATACGGTCATCATATTTTATTTATTTATTTATTTTTGATCATCATATTTTAAAAAGGAAAAGAGGAGTACTTTGCCCCACCCTTCATTCCCAGTGTCTTTCCAAAGGTACTGACCCTCAACTTTGTAGCTGTTCTGGGATTTACCTTCACATTTCTAGAGAATGTTTATACTGTTTCATGATTTTTCATACGTATTTTCCTTATTCATGCTTGTTGTTACTTCCCTAATCATCTCCATCCCATAGCATGTTTGTAGCAAAATTGTTGATTCAATACCTTATATTTACATTATTGTAACTAGTAAATATTCACCCACGTTTCACCCAGACACCCTGTTTCTTGAACAATAACTGTTTCCTAACAGAAAATTTTCATTTGTTCTTTGTACTTAGCAATTTTTCTTCCCCAGTTGTATCATGGTCTCTGCCACATATGCCAAATAGTATCCCTAGGAGTCTCCCCCAACCACCCTCCAAACTTTGCTTTCATTATTCAGTCCTGCTGCTGTCTGGATCTTATGCTTCCTACCTACCTTTGGAACTATTTCCTGGGTTCTGTGTCTGGACTTCTCTTTCTTAACTGTTTCCTGGGTTCCATGTCTGTTTCTTTCATTCTTTATACTCTCAATTTTATAGGACATATTCTTCATTTATCTTCCTTTGATATTTGTCTTGTTTTTTTGATCTTTTTAAAAGATCTTACATGTCTGAAAATGTGTCCTATTCTCCACCTCACATTTGTTAGATTGGAATTCAAGGGTAAACATTTTTCTCAGTACTATAGGCATTGCTTCATTGTCTTAAGAGTTTTTACAGTTGTCATTAAGAAGCCAGGGCAAGATCTTCTCCTCATTTTTGGTGTTCTAAAATTTCAAGATGTTAAATTGTGCTTAGTGTTGGTCTTTTTTTTCTTTGATCCTGCTGGGTTCTCTAGAGCCCTTTCAATGTGGAGATTTATATCCTTCAGTTCTGGAAAGGTTCTTTTATTTCTTTAGTAGTTTTCTTTCCATTTTCTTTCTTCTCTATTAACCATGGCTAAAGTAAGATGATAATTCCCCTGGTTAATTCTATTTTAAAGTTGTATTTTCTACTTCTGAGAGGTTTCCTCAGTTTATTCTCAATAATTATGTTGAATCTCATTGTATCACAGTTTTTAAAAAGAGTATCCCATTTTCAGTGTCCACAAGCTCTTTATTATACTCCAGTTGTTTTCTTAAGCACCCTGTTATTTTATGAATGGATGTCTGTTGATCTCTGAGGGCAGTAGTTAGCTATTTTCCCCAGATTTTCTTTATGTTCCTTTTTTTTTTTTTTTTTTTTCTTTGAATCCTGGTCTTTCATATCAGAGGATTTGATTGGATACTTAGTAATCCTTAATGTTTATCTGTTTGAAGAAATCCTAAAAAACTGATTGGAAAACTCTTGGTGACTAGTAGACTTTGCTGTGGGGGTGTTCCTGTGGCAGTCTAGCTTGGTAATTGGGAGCAGGCCAAATACCAGTGTCCAGAAATCTTTGTCCGTGTTTTTGTTTGGTGATCCAAGAGTAAAATCCCTTCATTTTATGGCAACATTGTAGAAATAGGGCTGGGAAAAAGTTCTCAGGTCTCAACATTGAACATATAGATTTTATTTTTCACACTTAGCCCTGCAGATTTGATTATATACTTGGGTGGGATGGATTACATCTGAAATCCTTATTCTGGAGAGAATAAATACTTTTGGAAGACTGAAGCTAGGGGAAGAATTCAGGGGTTTACTGTTTGAACTACATATTTGATTTCAACTCACTTTTAATGCCATGCATCTTCTCTTTTATGGTGGTATCTGGTACCTTCAGGTCATGCTGCTTTTTTGTGTGCTAAGGCCAAATGCTTTGCTTTTGGTTTCTACCTCTAAGGGCCTAGGGTGTTTTATCTTCTCTGTTTAATTATTGTGCCTTTACTATTACTTTGGATTTTCCAAATACACATTGAAGTCTCTTGCCTTCTGTGGCCCCCTTTGGATTCATTACCTATCATTTTATCAGGGTTTTGGAAAGGGGCAAAACAGTTACATAAGGATAATCGCTCATGTTTTAACTGGAAGTTCCAAACAGACCTTTTTCGATAAGCTTGCTTTGATTTAATCATATTCATTGTAACTTTTACTGTGGTTTGTCATTAGTTGGACATTTTTAGTGGGATAATTGTAATTGATAATGAGTTTGTGTTATATCTTTTTCATGTTTGTTGTATATCTCCTGCTGCAATATAGACCATATGTTTTAGTGTTTTTTCCCTCTCTTCAGTCTCTTTTCTGTTATTGCCTGATACCATGTTTTTAAAGTAAATATCATAACGAAAGGAAATTCTTTTGTAGTAACTTTTAAGGTAGAAAGTTGTGATTGACCCAAAGTTGGCAAGTTAATGAGGTTCCATGCCAAAAATAGATTAGGTATTTTTACTTTAAATGTTTAAATTTGAATTTTTTTTTTATTTTTTCCTTTTTCTTTTGTGGAGAGCAGGGGTGGATGGTTGGGGTGGGAGGGACAGAGGGAGAGGAACAGAGAGAATCTCAGCAGGCTCCATGCTCAGTGCAGGGCCTGATGCAGGGCTCCATCTCACAATCCTGAGTTCATGACCCGAGCATAAATCAAGACGCAGATGCCTAACTGACTGAGCCACTGAGCAGCCACTGAGGTGCCGCTAAATTTGAATGTTTTAATAAAGAACATATGCCTTATCTAAGTGGCATATCAGATAAGTGCATCTGTTTGTAGTTACTTTAATGTCATCCACTACCAGAGCAAGAAGGAAATTTTTGACCCTTCTTGAAAGTGGGTAGGGAGAAGTTGAAGAGATTATTGTGATTTAAAGTTTTTTTATTATAAAAGTAATGTCTTCATAGCAGCACTGTTTGTAATAGCCTAAAATTGGAAACAGTTCAGTGTCCATCTGCAATATAATGGACAAATAATTTATGTGTATTGATAACAATGAAATACTATATAAACCAGTTAGAGTGAACTTACTACAGCTACATGCTACAATACAAATGAATCTCACAAATACAACGTTGAGCAAATAAAACCAGACATAAGAGAGTACATGTTATATCATTCCTTTCATATACACACAGGTGTCCACCCCTATCCAAAAGTATAGTATTTCTTTGAAACCTTTTGTGGGCTAGAATGATGTAAAGTGAAGAAGCAGTTATTCGTTTATATGGGAAAACTTTTGAGTTTTCCCAGACCCAAAAAATATCCTCTCTCAGACTTTTCTGTTACTGTACACCACATTGTGCTAATGGATACACAGTACACATTGAGATAAAGCACAGAAGCTTGCAGACAGAGTTTAAAGTTACGGCGGCTTGATGCTGAGATGCGGAGTGTAGTTCCTGGGGAAGGAGGTTAGTGTTGGCACTTGCTACTCAGGGTATACACTGCCTCAGTGCTGCAAAACAAATGTTGAATGTTGTTTTTTCACTTTCCGTTCCCTTTTTATAAAAGCAAAAATTCTCTTTGGATTTCTTTTGCTTAGCAAAAATAGGTACTATATGTAGGTCTTTCATATAAGTGACAGGGCATAATGTGGACTTTTGAAAAGTGGGAGGTACCTGTATATTTAAAAGATTACACATAGCTATTGTGACTCTTGGTCGAGGTTGAGGAATGTTTATTAAAGAAAACTTAGAAATTTTCACTTTTGAGAAAGGGAGATAAAACAGATTATAGCATAAGTTAGAGTGTCTTAAAGTATGTACAGAATAGAAGCACACAAAGAAAAATGATTAGTGTTTTCATACCATGACTAGGAATTGAATGGGGAATGTACAGAGTTTCCATGTATGTACAAAGTCTGTGAAAGTGTATTGTGATAAGGGGAGTGCGAATAGTATAGCTAATGCTCATGGTATGAGTATTAAGCACTAATAATAGATAAGGATAGCAAGACAGTCAAGAACAAATTTGTGTTGGAGTCTATAGAGACAAAATTGAGTAGGGAAAAGAGCCCAGGCTTTGGAAACAATCTCAGTTCCTCATCCCTCTTTTATCAGTTTGCTTCATTTTATGGGCAGTGGGAAGCCTTTGATGGACTTGAGACTTCTGCCTTAGAGAAGACAGGGTGTTGATAGTCTCATATTTCACCATGTCTGATATAGTTAATTTGCATGGTTAATTCTTGATTCGAGCTAATGATTAAGGAGGATTAAGAATCTAAGGTTTGCGTGTTTTCCCAAAGGCAATTAATCAAAATTTGCATTTCACAGGAAACCTCAAGAATGGATTCTAAACCGTCAAGGATTCCAAGAAGAATTTCAGTCCAACCCCCCACCTCTTTAAGTGCTAGGATGATGTCTGGAAGCAGAGGGAATAATTTAAATGATACCTATCACTCAAGAGACTCTACATTTAGACTGGATTCTGAATATCAGGTAACATCTTAATTTGGAATATATGTACATAGTTTCTTTGAAAATATGTGGGGCCACATGGTTTTTAGATTTTAGGAAAGTAATGAGTATAATTAATAAGACGCTCAGATGGATCTGAGGCATCCTGTAATAAAATACATTAATATATCCACAGGAAAATGAATGATTATTCACACCAAGTAGCAAAAACTCAATGTTTTTAGTCTTTGTGGACTTCAGAATTATGAAGGAGGCATTGTGGTCTTAATGTAAATCATTATGCTGTATTTCAAAGACTTGGAAACCCATTTACTTAAAAACATTATCAGTTTAAGTATAAATTTGACAACATTAAACAATGTGGATGACTTGGTCAAAGGGTAGAAAGTGCATCCTTTCTTAACATTGTACATACTCATCTGACTTTTTCTCTGCATGTACAGAGCAGCAGTGGAGTAATGATTGTTAAGGGTTTTTTTTAGTATGGCTTCCAAATATTTTGCTTTTAGTGGCAGGTGATTATTAAATTGACAGACTGTCTTTTGTGAAGATGTATTACTAACAATCGTTTAGACATACTTTGGGGCTTTATTTTCATGGTTAATCTAATGAGTTTGCAGATTCATAATCTACATAAGCTACTCTTACATATTCGTTTCCTTTGGATTGATAGCACTTAGGGTTTTGAAATGCTTTATTAGTGTTATAAACATAACAGTTGTAGAAAAAAAAAACAGTATAAATCTCAGAAGCATGATTTCTAGGTTTAATGCAATTCCTATTGTTCATCTTTCAAATTTCAGGTTATTGCATTATTGACTAAAAAGCTAATTAAATCATATGTGATGTGGACAAGTCTGATGTTAGGTAACTTGAATCTAAGAATCCTTTAGTGAGAATTTTCATTTAGGCATTTATAAATGTATATAACGTCATATTCTACGTGACAGTCATTTTAAAATGTTTCTATGCAGTAATAAGCATATTATAAAATATTCAGAGAAAAAACATTCCCTAAAATGCATATATTACATACTTCCTCATTTTCTATGAACTATTACTGAGTCCTTTTTTTTTTTTAATTTTTAATTTTTTATTAACATATAATGTATTATTAGCCCCAGGGGTACAGGTCTGTGAATCGCCAGGTTTACACACTTCACAGCACTCACCATAGCACATACCTTTCCCAGTTTAGTGAGTCATTTTAAATGTTGGTTGATAATGTATTTTTTTTTTAATTCTGTTGATTGACAAAAGGACACTTGCCAGAGGTACAGAATCACGAAACTATATCCTGTAGAAAAGTTCTGGGTTACATGATTATGACTTATTAAGAGCATAGATTGGTTTTTCCCCCTATATTGTCTCCATAAAAAATTTATCTGCAGATCTTTTTCTAATTTTTTCACAGAGCTTTTTAGTGAGGAGCAGACTCTGAAACCAGACTATACTGCCTGGAGTGGAGTCCTGTTCCACTACTTACTGTGTGAATGTGGGCAAGTTTCTTTATTAAGTCTTTCTTATTTTCTGTATTAGGTTGTTAGTGTTAGATGAATTATTACACTGAATGAGAATAGTGCCTGTCACATGATAAATACTATATAAATGTTAGCTGCTACATTTGTTTTTATTATAATTAATTATATTAGCTGCTAAAAGTCTTAGCTGTATTTAGAAAATTTATTGACATTCACTTTAAAAGACAAGTATTTTCAAGACTATTCCGTCCAGCTTTTTCTTAAAGTCCTAGATTACTTTAAAAATCTCGGTTTTCACTGTGAAAGTTAAACAAGTGCAAGCATAAAAAACCACTTAATGTCTTTTACTGATTCTTAATAAGATAAATCAGCATTGGAGTTTTTCTTAATGTTTTTCAGTTGCTTTAAATGGCATCCAATTTTTTTTCATGGATTATAGGAACATTTCCAATCTTAAATCAGTTACTTCTAGCTTGCTTTGCTCTTTAGTTTTGATTTAAAAACAGACTTCTGTGTTCTTGCACAAATTACTTTATATCTGTGTTTCTTCTGTAAAATGGTGGTAACAGCTTTTTACATGGTTTTATTAAGATTTACTGAAAGAAATAACACATTAAAGCACCTAAAACAACTCTGCCTGGAACTTAGTAAGTTGTGTCTGTTTATAATAATGATGATTGTGATTGCTATTGTTATCATTATTTCCCGACTTTGTATTGGCCTAAATAGGTATCTTTAAGGTATAGTGTAGTATGTGGTCAGAATATTAAAATTACATATTATGTATTTAGTTTTATATAATATTCTTAATACTACTAACAAAATGTATGTTTAATGAATGAGAACTTTAAATATCAAAGGGAATATTTAAAAAAAAAAAATCGCTGTTTTCTCACAGCTGTTTGCAATATAACACTCCCCTTCTCTCTGAAGCTTCAGAAATGAGGGTCAGGACTAGGCATGCTCAATTTCAGTTATGTTAAGGATTAAATAATAGGGAAATACTTTATATAGTGCTTAATATTTTATGGAACATTTTTTGCTTTTAATTTTAGTTAATTAAGGATAATACTTGTGTCATTTTGAAGATAGGATCTGAAATCTGGGAAGAGAAGTGGTTTCTTTCAGTCACATGATTAGTATATAAGTACCTGAGTTTAAGAATCTAAGACTTACGGGGGCGCCTGGGTGGCTCAGTGGGTTAAAGCCTCTGCCTTCGGCTCAGGTCATGATCCCAGGGTCCTGGGATCGAGCCCCGCGTCGGGCTCTCTGCTCAGCAGGGAGCCTGCTTCCCCCTCTCTCTCTGCCTACTTGTGATCTCTCTCTCTGTCAAATAAATAAATACAACCTTTAAAAAAAAAAAAAAGAATCTAAGACTTATGGATAGCATTGTTTCTTTGGGAAAATACAGATTCTAAGTTCCGAACAGTTGATTTTCTGAAGATCTTTTGGTTCTCAGCCATTTGTAAGCTGGGCTGCCTCTGTTATTAATCTTGCTGGTATTTCTGTTGTTTTATCTTGGAAGTTTTTGTTAAAATTTGAATGGTTGAATACTATGATCGTCTTATCTCTTTGTTAGCAGTAAGTAGAATTTTAAATATGTTTTAAAAGAGAATTCCTTTAATTCATATTGTTAAAAGTAAAAATTTGGGAGCATTCTGTGACTATGTAATTGTTTATATAAGTTTCATATATATTTCTATAACTTAGTTTAAGAGCTGCTAATCCCATTACACTTTTCCTTTCTTGCTTTGAGATTAATCACTTTTAATAAGAAATAATGAGAAGCTTTTTATTTATGTGTTTTCTAGTTTGTAGATCAACTTACAGAGCTCAGTACCATTTGCATATTTTACATACTGTATTATGTCAAAAATTAAAAGAACCGATAGTCATTAACATGTTTATCTACTACAAGGTTAGCTTCCAAGGAACTAAATAGATGCATGCATACATATAAATAAAATTAGGTAAGAAAATTAGAATAGTTTTAAAATGGTATCAAGAAAAATACAGAGAAAGTACTGAGTGGGTCAAATTTATAATACTGGTAAGCATTTATAAGCCCTGCAGTGTTTTAGAGTTAACTTGGGACTTTTGTTTTGGGTATCAGGAACAGGTCACAGGGAAGTAGAACCAGATCTATAAGGTGTTTTGTTCATAAGAAAAACCCAGTTCCTCCAGGAAAGCAGTGCTTGACAGTTTGGTCTGAAAGGGGACAGTGAATGATACAGTGAACATTGTCTTCAGTGTAGTATTAAAATTATTAGTATATTGCTAGTTTACTCAAGTTGTTTCTTGGTAAATCTCAGCGTAAGCAAAGGACATGATGCCAAAGTGTACAGCTCAGCGAAAAACAGTTCTTTCAAGGAACAGTAGAGTGATCTGAATACCAATTTTCTGGTAGTCTTCATTTATGTATTGGGGAGTTTTGAGTAATAAATGGACTCCAAATCCTTCTCTCTTGTGTATGTATAAGGTTTCTTACCTGGATTTGGGCATGAGTGAATTCATAAATCTTAAAATCCACTAATGTCTTTCTTTCTTTCTTTTTTTTTTTTTTAATGAGAATTGAAAAGACTACTCATTCTGAAGAGAAAGTAGAAAATAGGACTTCACATTAGTGTGGCAGTGGATGCTCTAGCATGTGAATATTTAGAAGAGGTCAAAGTTCCATGGTGTTGGCTATGGCTAAGATCATTTTGGTCTGGAAAATTTTTAAGCTGGGATTAGCAGTCATCACAGTCACAGCATTGACTCATTGAAATGAGCCAAAGAATAGCATTTCATTCTGGATTTGCCTCTGTTACTGTGTATTAAATGATTTCCAAATGATTAAGCATTGTCCAGTGGGTAGCATTGGTAGTATTTGCAGTAATTGTTAAGGTTCTTTTTTTAAGAATAGCTTTATTGAGTTAAAGGTCACATACCACATGACTCACCCATTTAAAGTATACAGTTTGGTGGTTTTCAGTACATTCACAGAGTTGTGCAAATCACTACCACGCTCAATTTTAGAACCTTTTTATCACCTCAGGAAAAAACTCCAGAATCGTTAGCTATCACTACACTGCCCCTCCCTCTCAGCACTAAACAGCCAGTAGTCTACTTTTTGTCTCCATAGAATTCCCTGTGTTGGACTTTCATTTACATTGTTAGAAACATACACTGCAGTCTTTTGTATTAGCTTTTTTCACTTAACATGCTTTCAAGGTTCATCTGTGTTATAGCATATATCAGTACCTTATTCCTTTCTACGGATGAACATAGTCCATTGAATTGGGTATACCTTTTTTATGGGTGCATAATCCATTTTTTGGATATATCACATTTTGTTTATCCATTCATACACTGATAAGATATTTGTGTTTCCATCCTTTGGCTATTATGATTAATGGTGCTGTAAATACTTACATGCAGTTTTTATATGCAGTCTTACATTTTCAATTACTTCAGGTTTATACCTAAAAGTAGAATTGTTCAGTCACGTCGTATAACTTTGTGTTCAATTAATTGAGGAGCTGCCAGACTATTTTCCAAAACTAGCTGGGCCATTATATTCCTACCAGCAATTCTGTGGGGGGTTTCTGATCTTGCCACATCCTCGCTTACCTTTATCTTTACATTTTGATTCTAGCCATCCTGTCATGGGTGTGAAATGTCTCATTGCAGCTTTGATTTAAATTTCCTTGATAACTCGTGATTTTGAGCATCTTTTCATGTGCTAATTAGCTACTTTTATATCTTTGAAGAAATGTCTATTCAGATCCTTTGCTTATCTTTAAATTGGGCTATTTGTTGCTTTATCATTGAGTTGTAAAAAATTTTCATTTTAGGGGCGCCTGGGTGGCTCAGTGGGGTAAAGCCTCTGCCTTCAGCTCAGGTCATGATCCCAGGGTCCTGGGATCGAGCCCCGCATCGGGCTCTCTGCTCAGCAGGGAGCCTGCTTCCCTTCCTCTCTCTGCCTGCCTCTCTGCCTACCTGTGATCTCTGTCTGTCAAATAAATAAATAAAATCTTTTAAAAAAAAATTTTTTTTTTTTTTTTCATTTTAAATTCCACTTTTTCATTACTGGTATATGGGAAAGTGATCGCTTTTTTTTTTTTTTTTTTTTAAATATATTAACCTTGTGTCCTGCAACATTACTCTGATCCTTTATTGGTTCTACGATGGATTTTTTTGTTGTTGTTGTTGTTATTGTTGATTCTGTGAGATTTTCTACATAGGGGGTCCTCTGAAAATATAGTTTTATGTCTTCCTTCCCAATCTGTGTACATTTCATTTCCTTTTCTTGCATTATGCATTACTTAGAACTTCCAGTGCAGTGTTATAAAGGAGTGGTATAAAGAAGAACCAAGTAAGCCCAAAGTTAGTAGAATAATGGAAATTAAAAAAATCAAAAGGTAAATAAATAGAGACTAAAAGACAATAGAAAAGATAGGTGAAACTAAGAGCTGTTTTTTTTGTTTTGTTTTGTTTTAAAGCTAAACAAAATAGACTAACCTTTAGCTGGGTTCACTGAGAGAAGAGGAGAATTCAAAATCAGAAATGAAATACACGATACCATAAAAATACAAAGGATCCTAAGGGACTACTATGAACAGTTATATTCCAAAAACTGGACAACCTATAGAAATAAATTCCTGGTGGGACGCCTGGGTGGCTCAGTGGGTTAAGCCGCTGCCTTCGGCTCAGGTCATGATCCCAGCGTCCTGGGATCGAGTCCCACATCGGGCTCCTTGCTCAGCGGGGAGCCTGCTTCTCCCTCTGCCTCTGCCTGCCACTCTATCTGCTTGTGCACACTCTCGCGCTCTCTCTCTCTCTCTCTCTGACAAATAAATAAAATCTTTAAAAAAAAAAAAAAAAAGAAAGAAAGAAATTCCTGGTAACACACAACCCACTAAACCTGAATCATGAAGAAATAGAAAATCTGAGCATACCACTAATAAGTAAGGAGATTAAATCAGTAGTAGATAATAATTTTTTACTATTTAACCTGTAACCCATGATATCATGATCTGAGCTGAAACCAAGAGTCAGATGCTCAACTGACTGAGGCACCCTGGTGCTCCTTTTGGGTTTTTATGGAAGCTTCATTACACAGTCAAATTGACTAAGTCATTGGCCATTGGCTTCAGCCCTTCCCTTTCTGTTCCCTGGAGGTTGAGGAGTGAGGTAGGACTGAAATCTTTCTTTCACTAAAAAAAAATAAAAAGAAAAGAAAAATTCTTAGTTTATTCAATTGTTAAAACAATTTAGACTGGTAAAAAGTAAATGATTCAGACCAAAGATACTTGAACAGTGAACCAAACTGATAGAAGCCAAAAAAGATTTTGGTTTTGAACTTAAGCCAACAGAAATACTGGTCAGAACCTTTATTTTTCCTTTCCATATATTGATATTAACAAGCATTTTGTTTCTGAGATGACATATGGGCTGCATTTTAGAATTATGAGTCATGAAAATTATTTCCTGAACAGTGAGTGTATCTTTTTTCTCATCAATAGCCAATGCCTGAAAACTGGATTGACTTTGGACCTTTTGTTCATTTCTCACTGTCTCTAAATTTGATGAGTTTTTGTCTTACAGTTACTCTCTTCCCATTACTTGTGTCACAAGGACTTATTTCCTGCTATTTCAGTGACTTCTGGTTGATTTTCTTTCTGTTCATTCCATTTTTTTCATCTCCCACAATGCTCTAAGGATCTTTCTAAGAAGTAGTTGATCTGATGGTATTTCCTCATTCAGTTTTTCCCAAAGTTATATTTACACAGTTTATCTGGTCCATGCAAAACAAGAAAAATAAGGAAAAGATTTTGTACAAGTGAAGTTTATTCACTTGAAAGTCTCTTTTATTTTGTTAAATCCATCATGTTTTGGGAGCATATAAAATGCCCCTCTTAAAAACTGGGGATGGGATTAGATGGCATTTGCTAATTTTGATTTACATGTCAAAAGTGGCAATTCTTGGGGCACCTGGGTGGCTCAGTGGGTTAAAGCCTTTGCCGTTGGCTCAGTTCATGATGCCAGGGTCCTGGGATCAAGCCCTCATTGGGCTCTCTGCTCGGCGGGGAGACTGCCTCTGCCCCCCGCTGCCTGCCTCTCTGCCTACCTAAGATTTCTGTCTGTCAAATAAATAAATAAATCTTTTAAAAAAAAAAAAGGTGGCAATTCTTTCTAAATTAAAACAGTTTTTATTTTGGTCTCCAAACTTCAGAGGTCTTAGAATCACTGGCCTGTATCATATGGTACCTAATACTTTATGGCACATGTGATGGTTTGGTTTTGAAATACTTAATGAATTTCATCTCTTATGCTACTCCAGTTGATTGATTGAGGCTCTGTGAGGACTTGATGTAGAAGTCTTGTGTGATCAAGTTTGTACTAAGCTGAAGACACATTCCGTTAGCAGAATACCCTCTGTGCAAGGGATGAATGATACCCTGATCTGGTCCACTCCTCCTTATTCAGCTTTGCAGCTTCTGCTTTTCCATGTGTGCAAGGTTCATTCTGTAGAGTTACCATGAACTAATGTAGTTCCCTGAAAGCATGCTGTATGCTTCTTGTAATTGAAGCATAAAAGAAAAAGACACTTTCAGCATTTATGGTTGAAATACTATGTTCTTCTTACAACCTACATTTTTAAGGTAATGAACTAATCCTTACCCTTTTTATGCCTTATATTGAATAAACTGCTTAACCAATTAAAGAAATTAGGGGGAAGTAAAATAGTTTGTACATTCTGAGAGATTTTTGTGTTATGGATCATTTGTATATACTTACATGTTAATGGAGAAAAACTTGAGCTAAGAGTTTTAATATGTACTGTGTTTAATATGTACTCATTTATCTGTTTCTTGCTTCACTGATAAAAAAAACTTTCAGGTCAGAATTTTTTTCTAAATACCGTTTATTGGGTGCCTGGGTGGCTCAGTGGGTTAAGCCGCTGCCTTCGGCTCAGGTCATGATCTCAGGGTCCTGGGATCGAGTCCCACATTGGGCTCTCTGCTCGGCAGGGAGCCTGCTTCCCTCTCTCTCTCTGCCTACCTCTCTGTCTACTTGTGATCTCTGTCTGTCAAATAAATAAATAAAAATCTTTAAAAAATAAATAAATAAATAAGTAAATACCGTTTATTAGTGATGTATGAAGCGGGGAACATACTTCCCCTTCTGCCTGCTGCTCTCACATTTGCTCAGTCTCTTTCTCTCTCTGACAGATAAAAAAATAAAATCTTTAAAAAAGAAAACAAAAATCTTGTTTTTATAGTAGTTTTCCTAATAAGTTTATATAATAGTATTCTTCTGGTGTTCTGTTCACTTTTAGGACTAGGAAACCAGTTCCACAGGAGTTGGAAATAGTAAACCAAGATAACAAAATGATTATAAGATTTTTGCTCTTCAGTTTTTCCTGACCAGCTGTTTATATATACAGTTACATGGAAGAATTAATCTAAATCAGATTAATTACCCAGCAAAGTCCAATTACAGTATAAAGTAAAGGGACACATGGGTAGAAAGGAACAAAGACTACAAAAAACCTACATAGTAGAAAAATTTGTGCTTAAGAGGAATGAGTGAAATTGGGGATTAAATTTAATAGACCAAAAGCAAGCATTCTGTTCTTCCATCAAAACACTTTTTTTTTTTAAACTTACAGTCTACATCAGCATCAGCATCTGCATCACCATTTCAGTCTACATGGTATAGTGAATCTGAGATAACTCAGGGAGCACGATCAAGATCACAAAACCAGCAACGGGATCATGATTCAAAAAGACCTAAACTTTCCTGCACAAACTGTACATCTACCTCAGTTGGGAGAAATATTGGACATGGTTTAAATGCAGTGTCAGGTAAAAATTAAATCTGTTTAAGAGTCACTATATATGCATTTTGGACTAAAGCCATTTTTCCAAGACATAGTAGTATTAAGCAAGTAGAACACATGTAAGATAGTGGGTCAGTTGTAGTCAAGTTTCTCAGGTCTTACCTTAAGTTAGTGCTACAACTGAAATAAACTCTTTCATTCTGGATTTTTATTCTAAATTTGATGCAAATATCCTACACAAACAGGATTAGCATATTTGGTTAATTAGAATAGCTGATATGTCTGGTAATCAAATTGGTAAAAGTGACCTATATTTTGCTGGTTATTATGAGAAGTCAGTTTTTTAATTGTTATACTAGGAAAGCCAATTTTACTGATAAATATATTAATATTTCCTAACCTAAGCTTATCTTTTGTAAATGTTGTGGTCTATACTTACTTTTCAAAAACAGAAATTCTTTAAACAAAAATAGTTGGTATTCTAGTAGGAGTTCTGTATAAGGATTCTGAAAGAATTCTAGCCATCTAACTAGCTATATGGCTATATAAGTCAGTTAACCATTCTGGAATTTAGATGTCTTATTGATATAGTTCCATATATGGTATTTTGTACTCACAGACACACATTTGTTGCACAAATTGAAAAGCACTTTCTTTTCTGTAAGAGGTCAGGAGGCTCCCTCCTCACTTACACTCCTTTTCAAATGAAACACTAGGGAATGCCTGAAATAGTTTTAAGGTGAGATAGAATTTGTGATGACACAGTTGGAAGATAAAATTCTTGAAATGCTTATGTATTATCAATCGAATTAGTGTAAGCGATTCCTTTCTATTTTGATAGGCAGGACCGCCTTGGGAAAGACACTGCCCATCTGAAGAATATTAAGAGTAGTGTGATGGGTAAGAGCAGACTGTCCTTAACACTGTAGAGAAACACCTTTGTGCACAGATATTTTTGGTCCCTTCTACTCTGTGAAGGCATAGCATTACATACTTTGGGCCATTTCCCTTAATGAGGGATCAATAAGGCTATTGGGACTAGGAAAGGAAGAACCAAAATTTTCAGGGTAAATAGGGGGGAAAGTTTTGAGACTTAAACCTTTAATTTATTTTGTTAGGTATGATTTCATTTAAAAATTTAGATTATTGCAACAGTACTTTAATTCTTAAATGAGAGTGAACCAAGTGTGATGTCAGTGGTAATATTTCTGATAAAATATCGTCAATGTCTGTAGTAAAACATTTTCCATTTTGAGATGGCTTGATTTGGATTTTGGCTGTTCTCTCCAGGATCACTTTCATTGACTTCAGGAAATTCTGCATCTTTGGCAAACTTCACATTTTTGTTCTGTAATCATTTTACATATGCGTACATTGTGTGGTCAGATGTTCTAGAAAGTAACTGAGACATTGACATCACAGATGGTGTTAGGTTTTAGTGTTAGAGAAGAATGTGTTTGAGTAGGAAATAATACATGAGTGATGAGTTCATTGATGAATAATTTTATGTTTTGCTGAATTTTGTTTCTGATTGCAACTATGTAACCTTGAAGATTCCTATAATGGATCACAATAACCTCCCTGTGTAATACTGAAGATTTGTCTTCAGAAACCTTGAAAGCTTTCTCTGAATTAAAATGTCTTCAATTATTTTAAGATTCTTCGTGGAGACATAATCAGGTTCCCAGATCTTCATCAATGGTACTTGGATCATTTGGAACTGACTTAATGAGAGAAAGAAGAGATTTAGAGAGAAGAGCAGATTCTTCCATTAGTAATCTTATGGATTATAGTCACCGAAGTGGTGATTTCACAGCTTCGTCCTGTAAGTGTAAATTGTATTGTTATGTATAACTTATCTAATAATGTTATATTTCTCTCTTTGTGTAAGTCATTAAAATCATAGTACAAATGAGTACATGAAGTGCATCTTATGAAGAATTCAAAATAGCTTAGTATGTATTCTAGTACCTTATTTGTTATATATATATATTTTAAAGATTTTATTTATTTATTTGACAGACAGAGATCACAAGTAGGCAGAGAAGCAGGCAGAGAGAGAGGGGGAAGCAGGCTCCCTGCTGAGCAGAGAGCCCGATGCGGGGCTTTATCCCAGGACCCTGGGACCATGACCTGAGCCGAAGGCAGAGGCTTTAACCCACTGAGCCACCCAGGCGCCCCTATTTGTTATATTTTAAAAAATAAAAAGTTTAGGGGCACCTGGGTGGCTCAGTGAGTTAAGCCTCTGCCTTCAGCTCACATCATGATCCCAGGGTCCTGGGATCGAGCCCCACATCAGGCTCTCTGCTCAGCAGGGAGCCTGCTTCCCTGCCCCCTGCTTGCCTCTCTTCTTACTTGTGATCTCTGTCAAATAAATTCTTTAAAATTAAATAAATAAATAATAAAATTAAAAATTTAAAACGGATGTAAATTCGTATCTGGGTTTTGTCTCCCGGTAATTTTCTTACTTGTGCTTTTCCTTTTAAGAATGCATATATTCTAAAGTAAACTAAATAATTTTTATATACCCCAATATCATTTGCCTTGTACAGTTGAGCCTTGAACAGTGCAGGCATGAGGGAACTGACCCCTATTTCCACCTGTCCTCTAGTATTGGTACTTGAAAAATCTGTGTATACCTTTGAATCCCCCAAAACTTTAGTACTCAAACTGTACTGCTGACTGGAAGCCTTACCAAAAACATGAGCAGTTGACACATTTTTTTTTTTAATGTTATATGTATTATGTATGCATTCTTAAAATAAAGCTAGAAAAAGTGTTAAGAAAATCATAAGGAAGAGACAATACATACATAATACCTACTGTGTTTACTGAAAAAAATCCACATGTAAGTGGACCTGTACAGATCAAACCCATGTTGTCCAGGGGTTAACTATGTAGTGTAGTAACTACTTATAGTTAAATTCTGAACTAATTAAAGCTTGAAATCAACATTTTTTTTTGAAATCAACATTTTAAGGCATAATTTAGAATTACTTTTGTTTAATGTGAATGTGCCTTTTTCATTCACTTAAAATAAAGACCCACACTAGTTCTGTCAGTGTACATTAAGCTTAAGATTTTCAAAATTAAATACCATAAAACAAAAATACTAAAAAAACAAAGTGCTTATTGAAGTTGACAGATCTAGCAGGCAAAAGTAGAGTTTGATTTACATAGAAGAAAATACATTTGTTCTTAAAAGGTGTAGGTTTTAGGGGCGCCTGGGTGGCTCAGTGGGTTAAAGCCTCTGCCTTCGGCTCAGGTCATGATCCCAGGATCCTGGGATCGAGCCCCGCATCGGGCTCTCTGCTCAGCAGGGAGCCTGCTTCCTCCCCTCTCTCTCTCTGCCTGCCTCTCTACCTACTTGTGATCTGTCAAATAAATAAAAATCTTCAAAAAAATAAAATCTAAAAAAAAAAAAGTGTAGGTTTTATTAAATAAGCTTATTGTGGCAAGCCTTTGCTTAAGACCAGTGAAAACATCTTTTTATTTGCTTGGGTTCAGATAGAGGAGCTGTAGTATATAGTATCAATACCATCTATGATTGGAGGTCTCCAAGTATAGGATAGAATAGATTTAGCCATTAACAGTTTATTCCTTCATGAGGCTCCATGTGCTAGTGCAGCAGCATCTCTCACTCTTAAGCTAAGTGTATGCATAAGTATTCTTTTATAAAGGGATGCAGAAGTATTTCTCATCCCATTTCAAGATTTGAACCACCAGTGGTATAGTTTTCAGAACTGCAGCTACCAGGACCCTGTTCTATCTTAGAGCTCCCAGCAAGTATTTAGAAGTAGAGGTGTGTCTGATGAGTAACCAGAGATAACATCCGCTGCTCTTGCTTTGAAAGAAAAAAGATTGGAGAAAGTTGAGCTGTTAGCAAGGTTTGCCATAAAATTATAAGGATGATAATATTTGTGTGAAATAAGTTTTATGCTTATTGCAGAGTAAGAAGAATTTCCAAAAACACCTTGTCTCCCTAGGATTATTTTGCCTTTATTTGTTAGAATCATTTATGGTGAATTATTTGTCCCATTTAAAATTTCTTGTCCATTTAGATATTATTTTACCATATCAATTTCTGATTAACAAATTGTGACTGTTATACCTTCAACAAGTTAGTAGATTTAGATGTTTGTTTCATAAGCTGTGACACACTTCTTTCTTTTCAGTTTGCAGTGTTGACTTAGCAGTAATACTGTATTTTATCAAAGGTATAGAAAGAGAAATATGTTTTTTCCTATAATAGTTAAGATGTATATTTATAATATAGCAGTATTTGGTTTGAATCCAGTGTTTCAGTTTGTAGTAATTAATAAATGCAAATTTAGTAATACTCCAATTTTATTTCATGTAATTGGTATCTTTCTTTTCTTTCAAAAATAGATGTTCAAGACAGAGTTCCTTCTTCATATTCACAGGGAGCAAGACCAAAAGATCACTCCGTGAGCACTTTACAGTTGAATACATCATCTACAAACCACCAAATGCCTTCTGAACATCAGACCATACCATGTTCTAGGGACTCTACTAGAAATTCTCTAAGATCAAATTTTTCTCCAAGAGAATTGGAATCTCCCCAAAGCAGTACACAACCTGGATTTTCTTATATTTCAAATAGAGATGAAACCTCAACCATAAGCAGTTCAGATAGGGTTGGTTCATCTCAAAGATCATTTCAAGAATCTTCTGACAATGAAGGTAGACGTTCAACCAGGAGATTGCTGTCGCGTATAGCTTCTAGTATGTCATCTACCTTTTTTTCACGAAGATCTAGCCAGGATTCCTTGAATACAAGATCGTTGAGTTCTGAAAATTCCTATGTGTCTCCAAGAATCTTGACAGCTTCACAGTCTCGTAGCAATGCAGCATCATCTTCTGATGTCCCCGATAATAGGGCATCTGAAGCTTCTCAGGGATTTCGATTTCTTAGGCGAAGATGGGGTTTGTCCTCTCTTAGCCAAAATCATAGCTCTGAGCCAGATTCAGAAAATTTTAACCAGGAACCTGAAGGTAGAAATACAGGACCATGGTTATCTTCCTCACTTAGAAATAGATGCACACCTTTGTTCTCTAGAAGGAGACGAGAGGGACGAGATGAATCTTCAAGGATACCTACCTCTGATATACCACCTAGATCTCATCATATGTTTAGAAGAGAATCAAATGAAGTGGTTCACCTTGAAGCACAGAGTGATCCTGTTGGGGCTACTGCCAGCAGATCACAGGCATCTGCGGCTTCGAGTAATGCTGCTACTGGTGGCTCCACATCAGATTCAGCCCACAGTGGAAGAAATACAGGAATAACAGGGATCCTTCCTGGTTCCTTATTTCGATTTGCAGTCCCCCCAGCACTTGGAAATAATTTAACCGACAATGTCATGATCACTGTAGATATTATTCCTTCAGGTTGGAGTTCATCTGATGGAAAAAGTGATAAAACTAAAAGTGCACCTTCAAGAGACCCAGAAAGACTGCAGAAAATAAAAGAGAGGTAAATTTGAATACCTGTCATAAGTTGATAAAGCAAAGAGCAGATGAGAGGAAGGAGTCCTTTTCTAAAATGGCTTCTCATAACATTGGTATCTGAGATTTCTTCTTAAAATTTATATCCACTGAGATGTTAGGTTCTCAAAGGAAATGGATGAGAATTAATAATGAAGGTAGACACTGGGAGTATAGATTGCATCAAGAAATTGTCTAAAGAACGATTCACTCACTGCCCTGATAGTGTTAGCTTTAATGTCATTATAGCAACTTCCTCTCTTTACAAGCTGTCTGCTGAGGAATTCAGTAACCAGTGGTATAAACAGAGAGCAAAGCATTAGTTTAGTAATTTCCAGAGAAAAATTAAGCCAGCACCACTCTGTCTGATTAGATAGTTTATAAAGCAGCATTTGTTGGTTATTTTATCATAGAAATTGTGTGTATTCCTTTATTATATATTTTGCTCATATCTGAAGATTTTAAGACACTTCACAGGTAAATGAATAAGAATCTAAAAAATTGAACCCCCCCAAGTAAAAAAAAAAATTTGAAACTGTAAGCCAAAGAAGGTTAAATCTGAAGGTAAAACATAAATATTTATGGTTGAGGTTCTATCTCTGGTTCAGTCACAGCATGATAGTCACCTAATTGTTGTACATCTAATCCTCTTTCCACACATCTTTTTCTAAATTCATTAGGAACCTGTATAATCCACTTGTATTTCAGTAGCAGTTTAAGCATTCAGTTGTGAGTACTCTTTCATTCTAGCAATAGACTAAGGTAATGGGGATTTTAACAAAAAATTATATATACACACACCTTGCATTAAATTAAGAGTACATGTTGGCCTATTAAATAGAGAACATAGGTTAATGGAAAGTCTTCACACTTTAAAAGCCTGCCCTATAAAAATCAGGATAATTGAATAACATTGCTGTGGGTGGGGGAAATGGAGAATTTAAAAACCTGTTGTCTTTTACTGTGATTAAATACAGAAAGTTTTATCAGTTTAAATATATGTGGTTCTGATAGCATGTAAATGAAAAAACCAAGTCATTATTTATTGACTTTTTTTGGGAGGTGGGGGAGAAAAGTGTTAAGTATGTAAGTATATTCCTTTATACTGTTGGAATCGAAGGTAGTCTGTGATACTATAGAAATTAAAATCTCTTAGGTATGTTTGTAAAGTGATCATGAAAAATAAGAAACTTAAAGTGTGATATCAAAGAGAAAATTACTTAAAGCATTTGAAGATAATAGGATATACCCTGTTCTGTTTAATCTTTAAAATATAATTTTCATGCTTACTGAACTGTTTTTTTTTTTATGGTGGTCGCTGTTTTTTAAGGTTTTTGCTTTTTTCTAATCAGAACATGAGTAGAAATAACAAAGATGTTGTTCGAGATAGGTATGTTTGGAAATGACCAACCAGGATGAGTTACCATAGCTCTGTTTATGAAGTGTTCCTTCTTTTCTAGCCTCCTTTTAGAGGATTCTGAAGAAGAAGAAGGTGACTTATGTAGAATTTGTCAGATGGCAGCTGCATCATCATCTAACTTGTTGATAGAGCCATGCAAGTGCACAGGAAGTTTGCAGTATGTCCACCAAGAGTGTATGAAAAAGTGGTTACAGGCCAAAATTAACTCTGGTGAGATTTATCTTTTTATGTATTTTATTTTCACAGTTTTTCTAAGAGATGTACATACAAATGTATTTTAGTTAGCAAATCTGATTATAATTTATTGTCAGAGTTACACTCTTTTCAAAAGAATGTTACTTTTTTAAACAAAAGCGTTAAAGAGCACTCATTAGGGGGTGCCTGGGTGGCTCAGTGGGTTAAACCGCTGCCTTCAGCTCAGGTCATGATCCCAGGGTTCTGGGATCGAGCCCCGCATCGGGCTCTCTGCTCAGTGGGGAACCTGCTTCTCTCTCTCTCTCTCTGCCTGCCTCTCTGCCTACTTGTGATCTCTGTCTGTCAAATAAATTTAAAAAAATCTTAAAAAAAAAAAGATCTTTCTGAAGAAGTCATGCTTACTGTTTACCAGCTATGTGGCCTTGAGAAATACTTGTTTCTAATGCTGTTGTGGAGTAGTAATAAGGTTACTATAGGGATTCATTGTTAATTGAGTACCCATTAGGGAGCCAGGCACAGTTCTAGGTGTGGGATCTAGAATGGTAAACAGGACAGACAAGGCACTTGCTTTTGTGGTGGTATGGGGCGTTAAAGGGATGCCTTGTTGAGGTGAGAACATTTAAACTGAACAAAGAGGAGCTAGCTATTCCAAAATGAGGGCAAGAGCATTCCAGTTGAGGAAACTTCTAGTGTGAAAACTTTCAGGTGGTAGGTAATATGACAGGTGTGTTTGAGGAACTGAATGAAATGCAGTGTGGCAGGAGTATAATTAGTGGACAAGGAGAGGGGTGATAGTTGAGATTAGAGAGATTAGCAGAGGTTATGTCATTTAAGACTTTTAAAACTAATGTCTGAAATTTAGATTTTTGTCTAAGTGTGATGGGAAGCCACTGAAAGGCAGGGGAGTGAAATGATTTTATTTGGCTGCTTTGTGGAGAATGGATTTTAGGGGGACAAGAATAGAGGCAGGGAGTTCATCCAGGAATCTATCTTACAAGAGATGGTGAGTGGAAATGGTTGGATTCTGGTGTGTTTGGGAGGTAGATTCTGTATGACTTGCCAATAGATTGGATGTGGTGAAGGAGAAAGAACAGTTTGAGAAGTTTGTATTTTTTTGTATTTTTGTGTCGAACAACTAAGTACATGGTGGGGCCATTTCCTGAACTTAAAGAGTAGGAGTGGAATAAGTGTGGGGCAGGAAATAAAGAATTCTGTTTTAGATGTAAACTGCTTATTAGAAAACCATCTGAAAATGTGATCTAGGCAGTTAGCTAGACAAACCTGTTGTTTCAGGAAATCATTAGTGCTGAAAGTTACATTTTGGAGAATTAGAGCATGTGTAAGTAATAATTTTAAGCTATGGGATTAAATAAAGTCCCTAGACCAAGAATAGGTATCAAAGGAATAAGGCCAGGACAGAGGCCTAGGGCACCCACGTATTTAGTGGGAGCAGAGGAGATCTGAGAAGCAGCCTCAGTCTGGTAGGAAGAAAACTAAGAAAATGCAGTGTTGTGTAAGCCAGAAGAAGAAAGTGTTCTAAAGAGGGTATGATCAAACATACCAAGTATCACAAAGAGATTCGAACAAAGAAATGGCAATTGGTAGCATGAATGTCCTTGGTGGTTTCAGTTTTTGTGGAGTGATGGAATCATGAGCATGATTAATAGAAAACAAGGTAAGACAGGAAACAGCCACATAGACCCCTCTTCCGGTAAGCTTTATTTAAGGAGACTAGTGATAAGGTGGAGGAATTAGGAAGTAAAATGGGGTCATAGGGTGTGTTTTTGTTTCAGTTTCAAGTGGGAGATTTTAGGGCATGTTTTATTTTAATGAAAGATAAAATGGAAGGAAAAAAATTTTAGCCTTTAATAGGAAAAAAAATTACTTTGTATCTACAAGGCTGGTGTAGATATGAATGTTGATCAGTTTGTTGCTTTGATGAGAGGATGCTTGCTTGAATTCCTGTATAATTGCTTCTGTTTTCTTAATAAAAGGAGGTAAGGTCTTTAGCTGATTGGAGGACAGGTTAAGAGATTTATGATGTGTAGGGAAAATAATACTTAAAAACATTTTTAGGGTTCTGGAAGTACTAGTGTCCATAAAAATCTGTGGCTGGGAATATGATTTAAAAGTGAGATGTACATTTTTTAGAAGCGGTTTTCAGATGGTTGGATATAGACAGGGATTTGGGGTCGCTGGTGTTGGGACCTTTGCTAGGCAAATATGATGAAGGGAGTTAAGGATATTCGTAAGGACATAGTTGTGATGGCCATGGAAATTAAAATCAAGAGGGGAAGTAAGGACATCAGAAAGTGGTGTAGGGTTAGAAGTCTTTGAGTCTCATTGACATTGAAGACAATTGCCAGAGTAGGTAAACTGGACTGATGAGAAATTTTAGGTACACTGGAGAAAATGCCTAAAATACAGATTTAGGGGTAGTGCAGTAAACTATGATGACAAAGTCAAGGATATGACCATAGTGGGTGGCGGGGTGGGGAAGGGTGATACTTAGAAGCATGGATATTGAGGAAGTGTGTGTGGATATTGAAATAGCCAAGAAGTAAGTTGATAAAGATGGAAAGCCAGGTGCTAAAGTTATTAATGAAAGAGGAGGGACTTAGAGTTTCAAAATAGCAATAGGTATGGGGTTATTTATTTCTACTTCTTGGTCCTGAGGTTGTGGGAAAAAAGTATGTAACAGTCTAGAAGGGCACTGTGATTTAGGTGTGAAGTTGAAGAGATTAATCCAAAAAGAGACTGGTTATGAGAGAAGTTTAGACCATGAATACCAGAGAACATAGTGAAAATAACTAGTAGAGTGAGTAGGGTGGGAAATTAGATCAGATTAATAAGTGGACACAGTATGAGATTGACAGTCTTGCAGTTGGTGACTTAGGAAAATCATTTGTGAGGTATGATGGCATTAATACTAATTTTAATAATCTTTTGAAAGAGTTGGGTAACCTGTTCAAGCTAGAGATTATGAGGCTCCTGGGAAATTTTTGTGTGTAGCTAGGTAGCCAAGGCCTCCTTGGGGTAGGGGGTTTATGTTTTGTTTTAAGGTAGTCTGATCGCAAAGCTGTAGGACAGATGTGTCTGATTTGTAGCAGCCTTTTCTTAGCTGTATGGTATTACAACAGCCTCTTGGCTTTGTTATCACTGCCCTAGGGCCTTACTAAGATGAAATGAGTGTTTGTCATGGAAGCATTGGTTCTTGACAGTCAGGACCCAGGAATGTTAGCCATTACCAGAATGAAAAACAGTGTGATTCACCTTCTGATAATATTTGCAGTTAGATTGTTAGTGTTGTGTAGGCAGAAAAACAGATAATACAGTGTTAAGAACATTGGCATTTTGGAATTAGACAAGACGAGATTGGCATAATGGCTCTAACACTTACCTGGAAGATCTCGAGTAAGTTTTTTAACGTTGGTTCTCAATGCTGGCTGCTGGTCACAATTAACCCAGTAGAGTTTTTAGATATGAAGATGCCTAGATCTATTTTTAGACACTCTTAAGTAGTTCTGGGATTAGGCCTCAGTTCCATTATGAGTAGAACTAGTAGTATTTACCACACAGGGTTGTTGTGAAAGTCAAATGAGATGATGTTTATAGTTCCTCACAGTACTGGGCATGTGGCAAATACTCAATTTGATGGGTTTTATCAGGTTATAATAGGTACTTTCTAAGATACGGTCAAATGAATGTAAAGATCTCAAGATCTGAACCTTCCTGATAAATTTTCACAAGCCTTTCTCATACTTACATAAAGACCCATCTGGTAGAAGATTCATTCTGGTAGAGATTGATATAAACATTTATTAAGCAGCTGCCATGTGTGTACTATTAAATTCTGCAGGATGTGCAGAGATGTATAAAGCAAGTTTATAGACATAAGAGTTTAGACAAATGCAGTCAGGGCCTACTGAATGAGGTGGAGTATACGTGGAAAGAGTCATGGACTAAACAGTGTAGGTATAAATGGACTTTTCCCAGCTATATATGACCTTTTTAAATGTTCTAGAAGACTCTTAATTCCTAGAAGAGAAGAAATGAATCTCTAAGATGTGTAACAATTTGTACTACATGGTCTGTCTCCAAGGTCCATATTATATAATAATACTTTGCTTCTGAATCAGAAGATAGTTTTAGGAAATGTCTGTTAAATTTTATCTTTCACATTCTTTATATTCTCCTTCAGATCATAATACGAACTTTCCCTGAATTTAGTTCAGTTAGTGGTACAATATTAATTTTTTTATTAAAATATTCCAGATGGCATTTTTAATTTCAAAATCTTTAAGTATGTTAGACTCCTAAAATAGCAGCAGCAGTCACAACTAGTTTTTATTCATTCCTTGAAATATTGTGAATATCTTATGTAGTTTGACTACAGGACATTTTGAGACAACATATTACCTCATAATAGCACTCACTTTCTGTTAGGTATTTTCAAAAGAAAATGCATGTAAATTACAATTGCTGTCTTGGACTTCGTGCCAAATTTACTGTTTTAAGAGGTTTAAGAGCTCCTTGAAGACAACAGGGTATACTACCTTTTCCTTCTAAATCTTAGCACATAACAAAGTCAACAAATGTTAGTTGAATTGAATCTAAACCTCTACCCTGTTAATCACATGACTTCTTAAACTTTTAGGACATCTTTTTCAGTTTAAAGCTCTATCTAAAAATAAAAATGGTGGGGTGGAGGTGTGGAAATGGCTGTGTTTAATTAGACTATCACCTATTAGACCCAGAAGCTGAGGAGTAACCAATAACTGAATGCATATGGGATAGAAGGAGCTTTTTTTTTTCCTTTTAATTTTGATAAACTATATATATATATAATTTTCCTTTTGACCATTATTAAGTGTACAGCTCAGTAACATTAAATACATTCAGAATGCTGTGTGACCATCACCACTACCCACTTGAAAAATTTTTCATCACCCCAAACAAAAACTGTATCCATTAAGTAGCAAGTTCCACCTCTCCCTTCTCCTCAGTCCCTGGTAACTTACTCATTTTCTCTCTGAATTTGCCTGTTCTACATAATTCATATAAATAGAATCATATTATAATATTTGTCCTTTTTGTATATGCTTTATTTTACTTAGCAAGTTTTCAGGGTTCATCGGTGTGGTAGCATGTATCAGAACTTCATTCCTTTTATGGCTGAAAGGACAGAAGTGGATTCCTTTTTTCCTCTCATTAGGGAAGGTACATTTCTTAGAGCTCAAAAGGTCTGTGTTGTCGTATCAAAGATACTGGCCTGAGTATAGGGTAACTCATTGTTTGGGATACTGTATTACTTAAAATTGTTTTCATGGCATCCTGTCAAGGTACTTGAGGAAGTGGGAAGTATAGATGACATTCCATTGTCAGCTTCCCACCATCAGGGGTGGGGATGTATGTGCATTTCTGGGAGGTAAAAAACAATAGATAAATAATGGGCTGGGCCTAAATACCGTAGATTAGGACCTGACAAGCACATCAGTGTTACCAATGTAGTCTTACTTCCTTTCTATATATTGATTATATGTATTGATACATCGAATGTATATCTTAATATGTAGAATGTGTATATATTTTGATTATATATTGATATATAGAGTATATACTTATATTCTAAGCTTAAAACTTAACAAGGAGGGGTGCCTGCGTTGTTCAGTTGGTTAAGCAGCTGCTTTTGGCTCAGGTCATGATCTCAGTGTCCTGGGATCAACCCCCACATTGGTCTCCCTGCTCCATGGGGAGTCTGCTTTTCCCTCTGCCTCTTTTCCACCTCCCACCCTGCTCAGGCTCGCTCTCTCAAATAAAATCTTTTTCAAAAAGAACTTTACAAGGAAAAATGTTTGTGGAGACATAAACTTTACTTTTGATTTTACCAGGTTCTTCGTTAGAGGCCGTAACCACCTGTGAACTCTGTAAAGAGAAGTTGCAGCTTAACCTGGAGGATTTTGATATTCATGAACTACATAGAGCTCATGCAAATGAACAAGTTAGTATATTTTGCCTAATTTGGTAAGTGTCTATTCTATGCTTAAAGGACAACTCTTGAAGAAAAGATTAAATCATGGTCAGAAAACCGACATTGAAATAATAATAGTAATGGTTAATATAATTCTCTGTTTTTACATTAGGTATTATATGATTTTATAATTTTGTATTATTTTTCCCCTAACTTTTTAAAGCAAAAGGCAAATAACCAAGTCACACATTCTGGGTTTAAAGTAAAATTCATCATACGTCTTTTAAATAAACCTGAAAATAATAAAAGCTTAGGAAATTAGTCCCAAAGTAGTAATACCAACCTTCTCTCCCCATAGCTGTCTCAGTTGTGAATATCTCTTGAGTACTGGAAAATAGTTAAAACACCAGTCCCCACATCTGCATCCTAGTTCTATATTTTTTATGTTAGGAATAATTTTCTTTATGAACCTATCTGATGCCCCTTGTTCTTACTCCTGTCTGGTTCCCTCTACCCTTCCTATTCCTCGCTTCCCCCACCCTCTTCCCACCTCCTACCTTTATGTTGAATGAGTTATCTTACATGAAGTCATTTATTCCAAGTTCACATTGTTTCTCTTTCCTTCAGTATTGTATCGTTACAGTCATGCTGTTAATTATATAATGAATAATGTTGGGATTTCTCTGATCATGTTAAGATTTTATTTCAAATATTTTTCTCTCATTTCTCAGATTTTTTTGGTATGTATTGATCACTCCTCCCCACCCCCACCCCCCATTGATTTGATCAGTCTTTTTTCTTGAAGCTTAGAGCTCAGTTTTTTCCCCTTTTTAAAGGAAAATTCAGAGGAAGAGGGAAGATGTTGGAAGAGATTACAAAGGATGGCTCTAGGGCCATATTATCCAAGTGTGCTTAGCATATTTTTGATAAAAAGAGAGATGATGATGAGAGAATGCATGAATGCTTGAAAAAGCACTTTTTTTTTTAAGATTTTATTTATTTATTTGACAGAAATCACAAGTAGGCAGAGAAGCAGGCAGAGAGAGAGGAGGAAGCAGGCTCCCTGCTGAGCAGAAAGCCCGATGTGGGGCTCGAACCCAGGACCTGGGATCATGACCTGAGCCGAAGGCAGCGGCTTAACCCACTGAGCCACCCAGGCGCCCCATGAAAAAGCACTTTTTAAATGAAGGAGTAATGAGCACCTTCCCTCCCCCCCCCTTTTTTTAATTGAAGTGAAGTTTATATAACATAACCATTTTAAGGTAAACAGTTTATTGGTACTAGTACATTTGCAGTGCTGTGCAGCCATCACCTCCACCTAGTTCCAGGACATTTTCATCTCTAAAAGAAAATCCTATGCCCATTAAGCAGTTGCTCCTTCCCCCTTCTCCCATCCCCTGGCAACCACCAATCTGTGTTCTGTCTCTATGGATTATCTGTTTTGGATATTTCATATAAATGGAAACATGCAATATATGATCTTTTGTGGGCATGCTTCACTTTTTAAATGTGGGAATATGGATACCCTTTGAAAATCTGGATAAAACCAGAAACACACCTTACAAAATATACATATACACAAAATCTGTATATAATTTTAGGGATTCCCAGATCTCTTGAAGCTAATTGCTTACATCCAGGTTAAGAGTCACTGATTTAATGAATGAAACATTAGGCAGTTGCTGTAGTACAGATACTACTCTAATGTTAATTATTGTTTTACTCTTTAATGAAGCATACTCTAAAACGTACTCCAAAAGGAGTATCAGTCTGAGTAATGCATTGTCTTAAATTCTTAAGACATCTCTGTAGACAGCTGGACATTGGTATTTTATAGAATGGGGGGGAGGAGTATGGAAAGGTGGAATAATGCAAAGAATTTTGTGATTTTTTTTTTTTTTTTTTTGTATTTTTGTTCTTGGTTTTTTTTAATCTTCTCAAAATTAGTGTAGGTTTCAAAGGATGGCTTTCTCCTGCCATTCTTTCTTAGGTGCTCCATCATGTCTCTTGAAGGTGGTTTTGACTTTCATTATAGCTAGGAATGTTTTTATTTTTCTTCAAGAATTTTAATGACCCACTTCTTAAATAATTTAGAGGTGTTAGGAAATACTGCGTGGAGTCATTATAAAAATGACAGTCGTGATTAAGCTTCCTGGCTTTAACATCTTTGTTCTTTGTGAGTCATGGATTCTAGTGGCCTGACAACTACCTTCATTTTAAGTACAGTTTAGTTTTTCATTATCCAGTGCCTTCATCTTTTTCAAGGTGATAACCATTAAACTCTTTTTTTAAATCTCCTAGATACATGATTACCTTTTAAGTTAAAAAAAAGCAGTTAATGAAGTATTTAGCGAAACTTTTAATCAATTTGAAATTTGTTGAGTATTCTGAAGAATCTGTAATCAGTAACTCGCTCAAGTTCGTATTAAGAACATACAATTCTTAATTTCAGATAACTTTATTATGAGAACATGATGCAATTTACAGATAGTTCACTGTGTAACAATTACATAACAGTTTAGATTCTTAATAATATTATATTCATGTTTTGTATTCTTAACTTCAAAACAGCAGAACAGCTTTAAACCAAAGAACTATTTTTGCCCACTGCAAATTTCTATGCAAAGGATATCTGGAAGTTACTTTACTATGCTTTTTTTTTTTTTTTTTTTTCTTAAGATTTTATTTATTTATTCATGAGAGACAGAGGGAGAAGTGTGGACTCGATCTCAGGACTCTGGAATCATGACCTGAGCTGAAGACAGACAGATGCTTAACTGACTTAGCCACCCAGGCGCCCTACTGCCTTTTTTTTTTTTAAGTTCATTTTTGTATTTGCTGTTGCCTTGAAGTTAGTTAAATTACATAAGAAACACTTGACCTCTCAGAATAGGATTTTAGTTATGTAATATATTGATATAGCTATAGATGAAATGCTAATTTTTAAGTAAACAGTTACAGCCATCTGTGCAAAGAAATCTATTTTGAGCTTTATAGGGAACCAGAGCATTTATTTTACCATCACGATTTTTTCCCCCACTTTTATATAAATAATTACATAAAGGAAAACTATATGAGAATAAAGAGCACCCATTTGAACACATTATATAACATTAGTAAAATTTTTCGAAACTACGAGGGATAGCTTTTTATTTCTTTTTTAATAGATGGCACTGTATCTCTTCCTAGAAACTGATTACAAATACATTTCCTCTAGTTTATCAGTATACTGAGTATCAAATCTCATTCTACTAATTTTTCATTCTCCATATTTTTCTCGTTTGCTTCCCTGTTAAAGGCTGAGTATGAATTTATCAGCTCTGGTCTCTACCTAGTTGTGTTATTGCACTTGTGCGAACAAAGCTTTTCTGATATGATGGGAAATACAAATGAACCAAGCACGCGTGTCCGAGTAAGTAATATTGGAGTGGGGGGGAAGGGTGCGATGCTGCAAGTGTTTGCTTTGGAAAGCACATTGTTTTATATGTTCACATTCTATTTTTGGGGGGGAGCTCTTATATTAAAATGTATCTTAAAAATAAAGATATTATAGATTTAATAGAAATTGCTGTCTTCCTTACTTCTGTATCAAACAGCCTAATTTTTTTCATTAAGCTTTTTGTAGAAGTAATTTTCTAGCTCTTGAGGTAATTGGAATATATTTCAGTGAAAAACGGGGATGAATTGAAAACACCTAGAGGAAATGCTTTTTAATTTGGAAAGGAACATCCAACTCATTATTACAACTTAGAAACCTGACATTGAAATTGAACTTCAAAAACCAGGAGTTTGGGAAATTAACTTCAATTTCATTTGTTAGTATCCTATAAAAGATTGCCAGTGTACTAATTTTTAAGCATTCATATTACAAACTACTGAAGATAGGGACTATTGTGTGTTTACTCTGTAAACACTCTTACCTTAATTTAACACTTGAGCTAGCTGTCTTTTAGGTGCTCATAAGTAAAATGATACTAGTTACCTCAGTGTACCATAGGAAATTTATACTCTGCTGCCTGGCCCATTTAATGTGGCAGGAGCTAGGGTCTACATCTCATTACTCTAGCATTGTGAACACTTCATATCTTAAAACATGTTCATAAAGATATATTTCAGACTTTTTAAAGTAAATGTTCACTCTGATGATTAAAAATAGATCTGAGTTTTTGGTGAAATTTAATCTGCTTGTGAATAGATTTGGTGAAATGTAAAATCTGTTTTATTTTGAAAATTATCAAATAACCAATACATATACTGTTTCTAATTGGTTTAAAAAATATTTTTCCGTAATCATTATGTGAACATTATTCCTGTGAGCCTTTTGGACAGATTAATATCATTGAGAAAAAGAATGAGCTATCAAGAGCATTCAGAATTTGAGCAGAGCTCTCTTGATTTCTAAGGCCTTAAGAAATCATAGAACCTAAATTTAGTAAGTGCTATAAAACTATTTCTTAAAAGGTGACTTACCTTGTCAAAATGAATAAACCTTATATAATGCATATAATAAGATCTGTTGGATGCCTTTGCGAAAGATACAGACCAGTTATATTAAAGGGGAAGTTTTCACCAGATTAAAATACTTCTGGAGCTCTCAAATTTAGGCAGGAAAATACTGGTTATTGTTCTTGTCTTATTCTGTTGTTTTTTTTTTTAATTGACCACTAAAAGCGAATTCATTTGTGTCCAAATGGTAATGGTTTTAATTTTTTTCTCCATAATTTTTTGAGGTGTTGCAAGAAGACAGTGCCATTGGATTAATTTATTGTATCTGTTTTCAGTTTCTACATGATTCATGATATCTACATGGCCATTTATATAATGATTATATACAACATTTAAAAGATAATATCCTAAGCTTGTAATTTGTGATGTGGGGGTAGAAAGACCCCTATTTAAAGGCTTAAAATGGTGTTTGACTTTCTTAAGTAGAAATGAATCTCCTATACTAATCTCTTTTTAGATACATTTGCAACATTTAAACTACTATATTTCTTTCTGCATTGTTTCTAGTTTATTAACCTTGCAAGAACTCTTCAGGCACATATGGAAGATCTCGAAAGTAGGTGGAATTTCCCCTTCCCAGACTTGTTGAATTTACTTTTGCAAATTAAACCCACAGAGCAAAACCTAATTGTATATTCTTTCTACCAAATTAGAGCTTCATTTATAGGCTTAATAATAGCAAAATAATTGATTTGGCAAAGATGGGTAGAGCAACTGACAGTTTTTTAAAAGCATGTATTTTTTTAAATTCTATTTTAAGGTATAGGATGTATTTTAAGTATTTTATTTTAAATAAAATTTTATTTTTGAATGTCTTAGTTTTAGAACTTTTAATCAAAAAGAAAACATTCACTGGTCACACCACACTTCTAAATCTGTTCAATTTTTGTGTGTGTGTCTATGAAGTTTTACTTGTTACTCAGCTTTGTTAGATCACTAAAGGTTTTCCCTGGGTTTGTTTGTAGTTCTAAGAAAATAAGGGTGAAAGATTCCTAATTCTGAGTCTATAACAGAAGCCATAGTTTTTTTTTTGCTCCTTGTTCAGGTCCTCATGGACCTTTAATAGGCAGCCAGCTCCGCCAGCAGCTCCAATCTCTTAAGATCACGTTCCAGCATTAGGACTTCTGCCTGGGCTCCTTTGTGAAGGCACTTAATGCCCAAATCTTTACAGGCATCTGCACAGCTTAACCTCAAAGTCCTACAACCTCCAGGGTGCTTCATATCAGGTGGGCACAGATATCAGTAGCTCTGAAACAATCCCTGAGAATCCAAGATTACCGTCCTATTGTACTTTTTCACCCAAAGCAACTGGCTCCCCACGGTCAGATTCCATTACACTCTTTGAAGTGCTTTAAAATATGTATTCTCCCACTGGATTATCTTCTGTACTCATCTTCAAAACACTTGGAGTGTTACCTGTAGTGTGCATAATTTTTTTACCTTTAGTTACGGTAAGCTCAGCATCCTTTAAAGTTTGGGAAGGACTTGGTTTTCCTGGGAACCTTTTAATGCCTTGAATATTCTAAGACACTGATTTTTGTCATTAAGTCTGTATTGTTTTTAAGTTTTGAGGGGATTAGAGGTTCCACCAGATACTGCATTTTCACATTTCAATATTTGTGAAAATGGTATATAAAGGAGTAAATGGTATATAAAATGTGAATTCATTGGGTATAAATACTTTTTCTTTTATACCTTCTTAGTTTAGATCCCTTGTGTTGTCTAACACAACAGTCTCTTTTTTGGTAAATTATAATTAATACTTTGCCAGATGTGATGATAGTGATTTGTTTCACTGTATATTTTCCTCAGATTGCTTGTTTCATTTTGTTTTTTTAAAATTAACATTCTCATTTAGAATTTAGTTTCCTAAACATAGCAGTGTCTACTCCCAGCGTGTGAGAAAGATGGAGGTGAAACACACCCAAATTCAGCTGTGAGTGACAGATGTGGGTGCTGCAAACTTAATCCTAAGTACCAGAATTTTCATATGTTCTAAGAGCTAGTTCTGACTGAATTTTCTTCTCCTATGGCTTTAATCAAATAGAAAACATGAGAATTTCCCTGAAGAGCTGTTTTATTTTTTAGTTTGATATTTTCTGTGATACAGCATAAAACTTAACTGTAGGATCTACTCATTTGTGAGCTAAGTACATGCTTGATAGCATTTATTAAAAATGGACTTAAGATTTCTGCAAGATAGGTAGACTAAGGAAACTTCAAGTTTCATCCATACATGTAGCATAATTTTTTTGTCGATTCCATTTGTTGGGTACTCTTAAATATCGGGTCCAGTATTAATACAAGAAGAGTGTACATTTAACCTTTCTGCCCTTGATATTAGGGGAAATGCTGGTTGGGTGTTTATTTTAGTGAACTTCCATTTTTCTGAACACACAGAACAGTTTATAGAATACATAGTTTTTTACTTATGTCCTTCCTATTGACATTCCAGGATGTATATTTTAAACTTCTGAGCTACTTAATAATAAATTGATGTCAGAAACATTGCGCAAGTGATATTTCTGACAATGTGGAGGCATAGGAATAATCTCAACAAAAGGTTTTTATTGAATCCAATTATTTTAACTTGGGCTGTGTCTATATAAAGCTTTTTTGGCTAAATAGAGCTTTTCTTGGCATTGTATAGACAGAGCTTTGATGTAAATTGGAAGAACACCCATAACCTATTCTGTGTACATTTTTTTTCATTCTCATCGGATGCATCAAACATGCAGCAGTAATAAACCAGATTCTTCTCAGGTGTGTGAGAGCACTTGCCTTAAGTTCATTTTTTCTCTGGTGTCTGTATCATTAGCTACTATGAACACAGATTGATCTCAGTTGTTTAGAAGATGTTTCTTGAAGCACATTTTTAAGCATTTTCATTTTTATAAACACTAACCTAACAAAAAGATGTGGGGTGGGAACATTGTGGATGGGCATCGCCCACAGTCAGACCACCCCTAATCCTGTCATTTACCATTTTGACCAAACAGTATACTAAATTGGGATTTTTATTTTACAAGTCATTGCTATTCTGGCTTCATATTTACACTTCCATTCTCATCCCCTTAAAATCATTCTTGATCATCCTGTTTTCTTTCAACAGCTTCAGAGGATGATTCCGAAGAAGATGGAGACCATAACAGAACATTTGATATTGCCTAACTTCATATAAGACAAATGGATGATCTGTGAACAAGTGTTTATTAAAAGTGGCAATTAAGTATGAATTAATTTTGTGGGGGAATGCCTATTGAATACATTGACTATATATATATATACACACACACGTGTATATATATATTTATAATGAATATATATACACACACACAGATGTCCTGTGTGTATGTGTGTGTGTGTGTGTGTGTATATTCATTCTCAAGTATTGTTGAATTAAAATTTTGCTGGACCTTTTAACATGGCCAGTGAATCTGATGTTTGTAAACTGGTAATCAAAAAGTATTTTTCTTTTAGGTGAGTGGGAAAGTGTTACCCTTGTTTTAGATACCTAAGCAATGCTGACGACTCTTTTTTGTGTTCTGATTACTGCAGTCATATTTATTAAAAAAAAAAAAAAGGTTCATGTTTTAGTCTCTTGCTAGTGAAAAAAGTGGGACAAAATGGGCTTTTGAAATAAAATGGCAAATGGCACCTAATTATTTTTCCTTTCAAAATGCCTTCTGTTGCAGTCTCATTTTCATAATCATTTGCTTCCAGTGTTTCTAAAAAATCATAAGGTATGAAAGCATTATATTAGGTTTCCAAATTTAATATGAATTCTAAATTCATTTAGCAAAATCTAATTTTTAAAAACTATATAAATATGAAATATAAATGATGGAAAAATTTTTGTATTGATTTGCAAAATGCAGATTATATTTGATAGGCCATAGTATGTAGATATTCCTTTTAGGAATATTTCAGCTGTAAAATATATCAGAATTGCCCATCAAATGTTATTTGGAAAAAATTATTGCACTCTCAAGTTAATGGAGTATTTTTAAATCCCACACTTAAAGTTCAAAACACTGGTTTTCAATGTGTTTTTTAGTGTTGTCACTTCTTTATAGATAAATATATAAGTAACCTGTTTGGATCCTGGTCGTTTTTAACTGTTCCTTGGTAATTCTGAGCTTTTATTTAGTGACTTAATGTTTTTCACTACTTTTGGAGAACAGATGAACATTACCTATTCACCATGAATAGCTCTACACTGTGGTCATGAATTGTGTATACTTTCATAACACTGTATATTTCCTGTCAACAAGTGTATCTCTTAGGATACACTTCTAAACACCTTCAGGTGGTTTTCAGATTAAATAAAGTCTTATGTTACGGCAACGAACTACATTTTCAGAACCTAAGTAGAAACCATGTAATTTCTCAAACGTGAATCAACAGTTTGCCCACACATAGTTTGTTGGTCTTAATGTAAAACCTTGGCTGGAAATAAAGTGCATACTGATTGATTTACTTTATAGTTTGAAATGTTTCCTTTTAAATTGGTGCTCAAAGTAGACGTCAAACCCTAGAGCCAAGAACTTTATTAAAAAGTAAAATCCGGTTTCATACAAAAATATATAACTTTCTAAAACATTGCTCAGCTCAGCAGTTACCTTTGTATTGCCTTAAAGAAAAAATACAAAATTTAATAATGCCAGTTTGAATTATCTGTCATCTGGGTCTTTAAGGATGCTTTGAGTTTGAAACAGTTTCACTTTGAATAGAACTCAGCATGAAAATTTAAGTATCTTCTGCTTAACCCACAAAACTTTTTATTTAAAAAATTAAGTAGTAGGGGCGCCTGGGTGGCTCAGTGGGTTAAGCCGCTGCCTTCGGCTCAGGTCATGATCTCAGAGTCCTGGGATCGAGCCCCGCATCGGGCTCTCTGCTCTCTAGGGGAGCCTGCTTCCTCCTCTCTCTCTGCCTGCCTCTCTGCCTACTTGTGATCTCTCTGTCAAATAAATAAATAAAATCTTTAAAAAAAAAAAAAAAAAATTAAGTAGTAGAAAACACTCCATTGGCATGCAGTTTATAGTTTTGTAATGACAGAGATATGCAGTGGCTTGAGCTTTTATAGTATTCTTGTCGATCCTTAGTACCACTATTTCGTATTTCAGTATTGTAAAAACTTCCAGTAAGTGTGAATTAGAGGGAATAAGGAAAGTCTTTTCATTGGTTATTACTTTTAAACCCTAAACAGAGACCATATCCTATTCACTACAAGAATGCAAATTCCTAGGAAAATGGAGTTAAAAGTAATACTCTCTCTAGATACTTGCCAAATGTAAGAATTTATATTGTCCTTATTAGCTAGAACCAAGATGTTCAGAAAGGCCGTTTATACATTTTGAATATAAACAAGCACATTTATGTTATTCTTAATGTGAAAAATACAGATTTGAACGATCCAGTTAGCTGTTGACCACCGAATAGATACAAGGTCTTGTTAACAGATGTTCTGATATGTGAAGAAAATTAAGATTTAACACTTCAATACCAGGGATCTCTAAGAACTTACTTGAAAGATGAAATAAAATATGGAAATCAGGTTAAAGAGGCCATTTTGGAAGAGCTGCCACTGAGTAGAAGTTATCAAAATGAACAGAAGAAAGTCAGTTGTATGGGAGTTAAGTAGGAAGAGGAGATTCTAGAGCAGCACTGTCTGATAAAACTTTGTGATAATAGAAATGTTCTATAATTTGTTTTGCCCAATATGGTAGCTACAGTGACTGCATGTGTTTTGAGCATTTGAAG